TCGGCATCTGCATCTGCATCTGCGTCGGCATCGGCGTCTGCGTCGGCATCGGCGTCGGCATCACCGTCCGCATCCGCGTCGGCATCGGCATCCGAGTCGGCATCCGCGTCGGAATCACCCGGGGCTGTCTCTTATACACATCTAGATGTGTACGAATGGACAATAATGAAAAACGAAAAAAGGTCGCATTTGGGATGCTTTTTGGGTGGGCACCAAAAAAAGTCCCATCTCCCCGACTTTTTACATCCCTGGGGTACCCCCCAGGCAGGCGAACAGCCGGGTACCGTACGGGCATCCTGGTTGCCTAGCTGAATTGTGCTCAAGTAATTTTGCTGTAATTTTCCTCTTATTTTGCTGTAATTTGGTGTAGTTTTGCTGTAATTTTGCTGTCAATTTTCCTCTTATTTGGTGAAATTTGGTGAAATTTGGTGAAATTGGATGAAATTGGATGAAAGCGACCGCTACAGTTTATCTCGAGCATATTCTTGAGTGTTCCTCTGTCAAATTGAATTCCATTTATTCCCGATTGTGAGCTCTGCTGTTTTTTTTTTTTTTTCTCTTTTTTTTTTTCAAATTTGCAACATTTGTAATGGGCATTACTGTAAGTGTGATTTGCTCGCAAATGCAGTCAAGTCAATCCCAGATTTCGTTAAAAAAAAAACAAGCAACCACCAATGTAGAAGGTTCAGGAACGGGGGGAAAAAAAAAAAAAAAAAAAAAAAGGTTCAGAACCAGTGTAAAAATCCTTTTAGGAAAGGGCCAAAAGACAGGGTGGGAAGGGGAGGGGGAGGAGGGGAGGGGGGGGGGGGGGGGGTGCATCTGGCGTAGGAGGTGGGGGGCTGGAAGTTGGGGATAGGGAGGGGGAGGGAGAAATGGAGAATCAGAACAACTAATTTCTTACCCGTCTTGGGGTCTTGGATAGCTCAGTTTCTCCAGCATTTTTTTTTTTGCTTTTTTCCCCCCTCAGGATAATCTAATTTTATTTTTAAAATTTTATCTTTTATAGCTTCCGTACCTACTATTTTTTGTTCATTTTTCTAATCCTCCGACTCCGAGGCCGCTGTCGCACACGCGGGAGATGTGAGCAGTGTGCGACCAGAGGGACACGTGGGGTTGAGGGAATGAGGGATGTGCATTGCGCACACTGCACATGTCGTCAGGGAGTGGAATTCGCCCAGGGATTTTACCTGCTAGGTACTATATAGAATAGACCAGGCGGCCATATGCCCGACAGGCCCGAAACGGATCGGAATCCAGCAATGCGTGCCCAGAGGCACGCACACGTCGCACAGTGTCGGACGGTCTTGGACCCCCATTCGTGAACGGGGGTTGAGTCCGTGAACGTATGGGGGTCACCGTTCACGGAAATCATGACCGGCTTCCGGACACGGCCGGAATGGGGAGCAGGAAGGTTGTTTTTTTGGGGTAGGAGGGTGGGGGTCATAGGAGGGTACCCGGCCATAAATTTCAATATTTTTTTTGTGGGGCTTGTGGCAACGATGCGGTGGTGGCACTGGTGGGGTGTGCTCTCCTGGTATGGCCGTTCACGGGTATAGGGGCATACGAACGGCCGGTCACGGGTCACTGACCGGCCCCTGTCACGTTCACAGTGTAGACTCTGTAGACACTGCTTTTGCAAACTTTTCTATTGCTCTTGTCACTCTTTAGAGCTTCTACTCTTGCATTCAATTTGACTTTGACTTCTCTGCCAGCTTTTGCGTTGACTTTTGCGTCGACTTTCTCATTCAAGTTCAATTTGCGCGTGCCCCTTTTTTTCTCTGGCATACACATTTAATTTTAAATTAGTCTTATCTGACAGATTCGGGATGCAAAGGGGTTGAAAGGGGATCTGAAAGTTGCCAGCTGGCCTACGTAGCTGAGGTAGCTCAGTAGTTGGTACACCCCTGAACTGTTAAAAAAAAAAAAGATACAGACCTGAGTTCGAACTGCAGTCGAAGCTGCAGCGGAAAGGGTCGGAGAGCAGTGAGAGGAGGGAGTAAGGTGATTGCAAGTTCACACTGTCGGTCAATCCTCCATGCATGAAGGAGCGATCAATGCTTCCCCCATGCATGAAGGAGCAATCAATGCTGATCAGGGGTCCTTCGGCCACACGCAAGGTCGTGTGAGCTCAGGGTGTATTTGTTGTAATAATCATCTGACTTGTGGTTGGGTGGAAAATATATTAACCGGACTGATGCACCCCTGAATGGAACGACATGAACTACATTAATTTTTTAGGTAGCAAATCCAAGACGTCGCCAAAAACGACAACTGGAGAACCCTTTCCCGAAGAAGAGACCTCGTCTTCGGGAACCAGATCAGGAGCTTGAATCCTATCCGATGTAAGTGTGAGTGCTTCTACTCCTTTCGATAATCAAAGGGGAAAACATGAAATAGAAACAACTTCAAGCAAGTAGATTTCTGTATAAAATTTTCTGATTGTGTTTTGGTTAAGTTTTTTTTTTTTTTTTCGTTTCCCTTCTCTGACTTTTTTTTTTTAATGCATATATATATATGACGATATATATATAAGGGTTCAGCCTCCTGATGAGTCGGTGAAACTCCGACGAAACAGTTTGTCACAGCCCCTCGTTTGTTGTCCTCTTCTCCCTCTCTGCC